TAATTAGTCTGGAAACGGGGGACCTAATTCTTGCATTCTGTGAAAACGGGTAAGATTGGCTATAATGTAATTATCTTAATCTTCACTATCGTTACTTTTTAAAAACCCAGCGAAGCGGGTCCTTGCAGCAAAATTCTAGATTACTTAGAAAAACAGTCTTTTATATATATATAAAAACTATATTACATACAAATGTACGAACAAATAAAAACCCAGCGAAGCGGGTCCTTGCAGCTAGTTTAAAATATAATCTTATATAATTGCTTTCGTTATCCACTTACAATCACGTTCGCTATCAGTTTATAAGGAGGAGAAAGAGCGTACAATAATGCGAGGGCAGGATAATTACCTTATATTACAGTACACTGTTCATCGAATAACAGCAATAAAGTCGCAAATCCTTTTTTATTCCGTAACAGTTCTCTTCGAAGTTATGTAGGTAAATTGTTGACATCTTAGAGTTCAGTAGGTGAGGAGGAGGTGTTTGTTGACGAACAGGAACAGTGTTTCGAAGACAACCTCGGCGAGTGATAAACGTGCGGCACACATACACACAATCAAATAATAACTTCCTCGATCTTACTTATCGTGCCGGCCTTTTTATATAAAGAGCTCATCAGACCCTAAACACCGGAGTTCGATCGGGGGTTCGCGCCTCACTCGGACGAGCTGGCAGCGGGAGTTTTTACCGGGTTTTCCTCCTTGCCAATGACGCCTGAATAGGGGCCAGCTTTCCCTCCAAGTCCTCCCGGAAGGCATTCTGTCTCCCTTTCTCCTGTGACCTTTCTTCTGTCTTCCTCGGATTGGTCGTCTTCTATAAGACCGACTCTTCCTTACTGTTTCTTCTGGAGTGAAAAGCGAATAGCAATAACACTCTTCTATGAGACATGACAGAGACATATAAAGAGCTCCTTTCGGGCCTTTTTCCGATTTCGTCAGAGTGGAACAATAAAGTGACGAGTGACACAATCGTGACACAGAGATTTACTCATTTCAATAAGGAGCCCAACTCGTGAGAATCGAGTTTTGAACTGATTTTGGAAAAAAAATTTATTGCCTGGCTTTTCGTAAAAACTAGCCCTTTTCCCTTTTTTTTTAAAATGAACTTCTTTTTTATAGAATTGTATTTAAAGTTTAATTAAAATTTATAAAAGATTAAGGTTTATAACACGAAATTTCTGATCCTCCCAACTCTATGAATTTTAGTTAATTTTAGTTTTTTCCAAAATAAAATTTAAAATTTCGATAATATATTATAAAGTATTCTAATACGTTTATATTATTTTCATGTAATCATCTTAACGAATTTATTGGTAAATATTATTTGCATCTATGAAAAAATACAATTATGGGGCTGATTTTCATAACACTCTGGAATTAAATAATTATTTCTCTTTTGAAATTTTAACCCTGCTAAACTTACTCCTTTTGTAATTCCACTTTCAATAAACGAATAAATATTATTATTAGACGACTAGAAAATCCCCCTGTCAAGCATTTGTTATACGAGAAAGCAGATATTTCAAGAAAATGCTAATGATAATATTTCTACAAATTAAGCAGTTTATACTATCTGCTTTAACATAAAAAGTAGCAAAACATTATATCACCCGGTGTGGACAAAATAATATAGTTTTACAGAGAATTAATTCACTTATACACACATAAACAGATATAAGCCTATATATTGAAAAACATTAAGATCTTTCTTTATAAAGTCCCTTCTTACACTACATTATGAGTAAACACTGTACTATCTTATAGAAGTTTTTTTTACCGTCTTCGTTTAGTAATATACTCTTTAATATTGTTTGGATGATTGACGTTGATATTCCTCTTCTGCAGCCCTTCACGAAGCCATTTCTTAATTCCACGTTGATAAAACAAAAATGAATTGAATGCACGGTACGTTAGTCAGAAGAGCGATAATTCTTTCTAAATAGATCGTTACTTCCGTTTGAATAAAATTAGAATGAAATGTAATGAAGAAAGTATAAAATACGCCATTTGCCAAAATGTTTAAAATTACAGCATAATGTAAGTTTTTTGGACCAGCATGAACATTACGTGACCACTGTCGTCACTGCAACACGTCTTAAATCACTGATCCAAAATCGATATAACATTTGTTCTATGGCTGAAATTTATACAAAATAAATAGCCGATACTTTCTGTACGAAAATAAAACGAATATAACCGAAATTTTATCTGGATTCAATAAGTCACACACACAGGCATACAGAACACGTCTTTTATGTCAGTAACTCGTAATTCTATCAAGAATTGAATTTTTCACTTGTTTATTTCACAATTTCACATTAAATCTGAAGTGGTAATGAAATATACCAGATCAAAATTCTAATATTTTAATATTAATTGTATACAATTTTGAAATATTTGGCTAATAATGATGTATGTGCACATTAATATCATTTAAAATAACGTTACAAATTTCGTCATTAAATTTTTTCATTTAAATTTTTATTATTGTAATTGTCTTCCTTAACATTTTCAGACCTAATTAAAGAAATGCTGTTTACTGATTGTAAATTTAATTGGAATGTTCCTATATTTTAAACATTTATCTTAAGCACGAATAATAAAATTTATTTCGATAATATGCCAAATAAAAAATGTAATTAAAATTTTTCTGATTAATCTTTTTATCTTGTTGTTATTTCTTCATTTATTTAAGACTTATTGTTCGGAAAAAGGCTTATCCTTATGAAAAAACTGCTTGTCAGCCTCTACCATCTCTGATTTTTTTCTCTTCGATCCTCCTTCTCTGGCTGCTTGTGCTTCTTCGCTTTCTCTTTTTTCTGATTCCTGTAAAAACAAAAATATGATTGTGACAAAATTAGAATTTTTGTATTAATTTTAATGTTTTATTTTGTTAAAATTCTTATACTTAAATACAAATATTTTTAAAAAATTTCATAAGTGAAATTTTTCCACATCAGAAATATTATCACAGCGTTATTGGGTATAGAAATTGTTTGTAAATTTCAATAAATTAATTTTTTTAACCGGCGATTCAGTTTTCCATAGAATTTTGTAACATTGATTATGTCACTTTTGAAACAATTTTTTTACATAATTTCCAAAATATGTTAACAAAATTCATCAATATCATAAAATTGTCGTCTTTTTCTGTTGTAATAAAATGTCTTGTAGATGAAAAACAAATTATAATAGAATGAAGCAATACTTTATTTTATTAATATTAGAAAGATTTAGTGAATAGAAGAAAATTACGAATAATTTGTTTCAGCTTATTCTCAGGATTATGTGTGGAAAAACACCGAAATATTTCATGAAAAAAGTATACAACTTTAATAATTTTTACTGTTTATTCAACTGTAATAAACATCGTGACATTTTTAAGTAAATAATTATTTTTATTTTTCTTTTTTTTGCAATTGATTAAATTACATTTTTCTTCAGAAGCACCTTTGGTAGTACATACTTCGCGAAATCTATGTTTTTTCTTGTTAACACACGAAGAGTCTAGGAAATGTACAAAATATCGCTCTGTTTGTTCTGTTCATTCAGATACATAAATAGTTTTCTGATATACAGCAGTAAAAATATCCCTCATTTGTTTCCAAGTGATACTACTGGAAAATTCCAATAGCGAATATTACTGTCAATATATTTTACGGATCCCTTTTTGCCCTGTTCATATCTGTTGTTCTTATCTTATTGCATTCTGTACTTTCTTTATTACAGACTTCAGCTCCGATAATTTTTGAATTTCGTGGCTTAAACTTCTAATTTTGCATTCGCATTTGCTCGCTTCTTTTCAACATGTTTCTGTTCTTGTGGTAGAAACACTGATCACTTCCACACTACACTGTTTTTACTTTTACATTGAGGAATTAGAGATAGTCACACCAAGATTTGTAAATGACGACTGTTAATTGTCAATACTGTTTCTAAAATATATTTCTTGGATCTTTGCAATATGTAATGATGTTGAACTAATAATTCAATTTTTAGTTGAAGCTAATCTTCGGTGCAACCATCTGCTACAGCTTTATTAAGAAGGGATATTGTTTTCAGTCAAACATTTAAGGGTAAACCAAGCATGGTTTCATCAGTTCTATTTAACGCCTCGATAATATAATCTGTTCTTCATGAACTGCACAATTTGTTATATGTTCGTTCAGTGCTGAGTTTTGTAACTTTCTAACGGAATGTTACTCGACGAAACTTCACTATTTATCAAATTTGTTGTTTTCGAAGGGCTATTGTGCATAATGTTCGGTAAATTTGATTAATTAATTAAGTACAATTTATCATATTTACCGACATCAACTGGAACTAACACAAATTTTAAATTATATTTACCGCTAATTATGTAATTTACAGTCGTTTAATTAAATTTCTTTCGTTTGCAATATTGTACGAGAGACTAACTATGGCTTGTTGTTAGGCCATTTACAATGATTTTTCTGCTGTGAACCTCTGAATAAAGTTCATATAAATCATTTGCGATTATGCCATTATCTCAGCTAAATAAAACACTTGATTCGAAGTTAATCAACGAGTCATTAATTACAGCAATCGATTTATATAAATTCCATACATTCAAACAGTTAATTGTAAACTGTTAAATTTAAATCATAAATTAAAATGTGTAATTCTATTTAATTAAAACAGGAATTGTTAAAAATGCGATGTGAGGTATTGGCTTGTAAACAAAAACGGAATAAAGGAAGCGCCGGCATCGCTAATTTGATTCAAGGGTGGTCCAGTCGTAAACAATATGCCAGGTAATAGTAAACAAGTTGATGACCACTCTCATCCAATTCAAGCTTACCTGGGTGAAAGCTCTTTGCAATGAAGAACTGTAATTAGTTGGAATTTCTGCCCAAAATGTCCTTAAATTAGAAAGCGAGTTGGAGAAAGTTAAAGTAAGGGCTTTGAACTGCTAACATCGAAGTCTCAGACACTTGGAAAGTTCGCTGAGGTTAGACAGAGCGAGCGAGTATACTTGTCTGCGGGATATCTCTGGGACGGTAAGTGCTGAGACCGAACGAATCGCAATAGAGCCAATCCACAGGCTGACAGAGGCCACTCCAAAACTTAATCGTTCTCGAAAGCCAAACTAGTACGTGAAGCACTACGCTTTGAGTATCCTGTGTTTTTTTCATAACTCGTATAGTTTATTTATATATTGTAAATAAACTGTATATACTGTCTGTCTTGATTGCGGAAGTGAACTTTCATCGAACCAACATCAGAACAATATCGAGTAGCGCGTAATTTGCGAACCAACTTTAGAAGATGGAGTTTAGGGAGAAAACTTCACTCAATTAAAACGTGGATTCTTAAAAGTACAATTTATTTTTAAAGAATAAATAGAATAAGTACCGTTGACGTGCAAGGAATATCTTCCAAATGGCACCGCTTATGTTCTAACCATTTCTCATTCGACCGAGTGCTGAACGAACATAAATGACATTGAAATACTATTACCGACAATCTAGGAATATTGTCTTTGTGGTCTGCTTTACATTGTTCCTCATCCTTGTTTTCGCTATTTGAACTTTTTGTTGCAGACGATGTTTTATTAGAAAAGGCCTTTAAAAATTTCTGTTCTTTATCCTGTTGTTGAGATTGCTTGAAAAGAAAAAATATCAACGATGAGTAAACCAGCAAAACAGTTTTATATTATATCTGCATTAAAGCGAAAAACTTTTATCATTAAAATTATATAAATCTTATAAATAAATATTGTAAAGTTATAGTTTATTTTACTTAAACTATAAAAACTTTTTTAAAAAAACAAGAAATAAGATTGAACAAAACGAAATTATGCAGGATTTTTATTTAATTAAATTACGTTCGAATACTTGAAATAATTTGCTGACCCTATTTAAACGAAAGTGTAATTTCAGTAAATACCATATGAATATTCAAAGAAAATTTGCTTTGTTAATCTCAAAAATACAGTAAAATGTCTATTTAATGAATCTATTTAGGATAGTTCAAATTTGACACGATACCTTATTTTTTCCTTTTCTTTTCGTTATAAACATATAACAGCCGTACAACCTATCGAGTGAAAGAAGTGAAAGATCAATAAGCAATTCTCAGACAGAGTCAAATGAGAAATGGAATTGTACTCAGACCATCGACCTTTGTCACGCCCTAACCTTACATACGGAAACGCAGTGACGAACAATTCGGAAGCGAAGAAGTAGATCTAACCCAATCTGAACCCTTAATCGATAAAATCCTTTTTAAACTGTGTATTCAAGAACACTGGGATTTTTCTATAAATTCATCAGCTGTATTCTCTTTCGCCTCCTCCTTTCGCAACTGCATAAAGTTAGAGCAAGTTCTAATATTTTGTTTTGGGCTCATATATTTCGGCTACTCGGACGAATTACCTACCGGTACGAATTACCCAAAACTATTTCCAGCGCATCTCACCCAAAATCATACATATTCGAACCTTCAAACATTTATCAAGTCGTTTTAAACAATTATTGTAAGTTTCTTAGATGTTTCGGTGCTTCACATTTTACATACTTACCCACTTTACACATACCCAAACCCAATCCGATAAAACTAGCAAGCAAAATAAAACCTTTTTTTAATACACGTGTCAAAGTACCTGACTTTTATACAATATTTTATGCTTTTTCAAATATATAAACAGGTTTTTTCCTTTGTTTAAAAAACTGCAATGTAGCACAGTAATCAACACATGGCATAACTCATTCATTTATTCCAGCTTTTGTTGATCTGTTTAAAAACTGCAATGTAGCACAGTAATCAACACATGGCATAACTCATTCATTTATTCCAGCTTTTTGTTGAGACGCGTTTCTACACACGTTTCTACACACGTAATAAACAAAATAACAAAAACGATACAATTTACAACAGAAACAGAAATTAATCAAGAGATAAATTACTTAGATATTACAATAATAAGAAAAAAGAATGAATTTGAATTTAAGACTTTCAAAAAGTCAAGTTCAATGCAAACAACAGTAAAATATAACTGAAATATACCACTATATATAAAGCAAAATATATTTTCTATGGAATATAATAAGATAAAAAATAGAACTAGTAAATGTATGGACATAGATAATGATATTAAAAGTTTAAAGAAAAAATTCTTGTTAAATGGATACCCCAACAGGTTACTTACAAACTGGGAAGAAAAAATCAACAACGTAAATAATAAAAAGAATCCTGAAAAGAATGAAATAGATAATGGAAAGATTTCAAATGAAAATAAAATGAAATATATTCCATTTCCTTATATTAAAGGTCTATATGAAAAAATTAATAAAGAAATAAGACATACTAATGTAAAACTTGCCCCGAAATATAAAAATTTTTTTGCCAGACTAAATAATAATAATACAACTAGATTAACAGGAAGACAACAAGTGAAAGATACTAAAAACGTAGTATACCAAATTCCATGTACATGTGAAAATAAAAAATATTACATAGGAGAAACAAAGAGAAAAATGGAAGTTAGACTAAAAGAACACGTAGCAGATTTAAAACATAATAGAATTAATTCAG